TTGGCTTTCTTAACACTTCAGGCCACGGACCTCCTAGTAATTTTCCCAAATAGTTATAACTTTTAACAATCCTGACGTTTTTCTAACAGAAGGCCAGCAAAGTTAAGCACATCTACAGTAAGAAAAGTTTGAAGAAAAGTTATCTGCTACTTCTTGTCTACATGCATTTCCTTTTCTGTGTAACTAGTCTGATATATGGTAAATTCTCAATAAGTTGAGTGAAAATATCCATTCTATGTGAATTATAAAAGACTGTTAGGAATGTGTATCAACTAAAAATTGGTGTGCAAAAAGCAAAAAGGGTTGAAATTATTGTTTTTTTAATGTTTTTTGAGATAGAGAAGAAAAACTCAAGCAGGGGAGCAGCAGAGAGAGAGAGAGGGAGACACAGAATCTGAAGCAGGCAGGCTCCAGGCTCCAAGCTGTCAGTGCTGAGCCCGACGTGGGGCTTGAACTCACTAGCTGTGAGATCATGGCCTGAGCCAAAGTTGGACACTTAACCGACTTAGCCACCCAGGTGTCCCCTCCTAAAACTCTTTTGTGATGACATTTCCTTGTTTTATATAAAATGTCTGGTGGAAAGCTCTATATCCTAGAGCTGATCAAAGCTGATCATTCCATTCTTGAATTGATCCAAGAACAAATTCAGGCAAACCCATCTTTCCTGCCATCACTAGCCCTCCCTGTCAGCTTTCTTTAGGGAGACTATTTTCTGAAAAAGAAGCGTTTTAACCTCTCCCCCAGTGTTCCTCGGCATGTGTGTGGTGACAAATAGAAAACCACTCCCAATTCTGAGGCAGGATGAGGAGGCTGGTGGGGCCAGGTCACCTCCTGGGCTCCTCACTCACACACCCCATCCTTGGGCAGCAGTGAGAATTCAAAGTCCTGTCTTAGGAAAATCCGAATCCTATATCATTTGTTATAATTGTATGCCAGGCATCTGTGGGAGATGGTATAGCCTCGTGGTTAAGTACACAGCCTCTTGACACAGACTCCTCGTGTTCAAGTCTCCTCTCTTCCTTTGGTAAATTGTGCAGCCTTGGGCTCGTTGCTTAACCTCTCTCTGCTTCAGTTTTGCCGTTGGTATAGGTTGTGGTAAGTACGAAGTGTAAGGTAATACACGTAAAGCACTCAGAACAGTGCCTGGTGCACAGTGAGCACTAGGTGGCTGGTAGCTGTTCTTGTCCTCTCAGAGTTTCTCACGGAAGAAAGTTTAAACAATAAGCCTCTGAATGCCAGGTTTCCCTTGCAGTGAGCACCAGGTTTCCCTTGCAGTGAGCCTTTATTCACCCAGTTGGCTGTTCCATTGCCTTCTCACACACATTCCCTTTTCTTTTTTTTTTTTTTTTATTTTGGGGTGGAGGGAAAGAGAGATTCCCAAGCAGGATATGGCGCTTGAACTCACGAACCTCAAGACCATGACCTGAACCAAAATCAAGAGTCAGACGCTTAACTGACTGAGCCACCCAGGCGCCCCCCACAAAGTCCCTTTTTATTTTTATTTTATTTTTATTTATTTTTTTAATGTTTTTTATTTATTTCTAGGAGAGAGAGAGACAGCGTGAGCAGGGGAGGGTCAGAGAGAGAGGGAGTCACAGACTCTGAAACAGGCTCCAGGCTCTGAGCTGNTATATTAGAAAGCAATAATAATTTCACAGTGTGGAAATGGCTTATGAACAGACTAATTAATTAAATAGGAAGCAGAGAAGTGCATCTTATTTTTTTTTAAATGTTTTATTTATTTCTAGGAGAGAGAGAGAGAGACAGCGTGAGCAGGGGAGGGTCAGAGAGAGAGGGAGTCACAGACTCTGAAACAGGCTCCAGGCTCTGAGCTGGCAGTCAGCACAGAGCCCGACGCGGGGCTCGAACCCACGAACCGCGAGATCATGACCTAAGCGAAAGTCGGACGCTTAACCGGCTAAGCCACCCGGGCGCCCCACAAAGTCCCTTTTTAGAGCCCCAGTGTTCTTTGCATTATCTGCCGTCTGTCCTGCTTTCACGTGACTTCTTGTTCTCAGCTCTGTGTGTCGTGCATTCTACCCACCATCGGGGTCTCCCCTGTCGTGTCTTCCCTTCCTGCTCTGCTCACGGCGGCTTTGCGGCCAGGCCCTTCTCGGCAGGCCCAGTGTCAGCCGGAGAGGCGCACTGCCTCCTGGGAGCTTTGTTCCTCCAGACGTCATCCTTCCGCAGCTTCGCGCCCTCCCGGCAAGGAGTATCCGAAATGGTCAGGTGCTTGTCCCATTTTTACACCATGTCTCTTCTAAGTTCCCGATGCCAGGTTCATTTATTAGAAGTTATCCCATAGTGAAAGTAACCCGAAGAAATTTCCTACGCAGGACAAGTGTCGTGCCCGCAGGAAGAAAGAAAAGCTGGCACCTACCAGAGCACCCGGGTGGCTCAGCCAGTTAAGTGTCTGACTCTTGATACCAGCTCAGGTCGTGATCTCATGGTTGGTGAGGTCACACCTCCCCCCCTTCCCCCCCGCCTCTCTCTCTCTCACTCTGCCCCTTCGCCATTTGTACACGTTCTCTCTAAAATGTTAAAAAACAAAACAAAACAAAAAACGAAACTCGCACTTAGAAACAAGAGGTTTTTCTTCCAAATGAGTAAATTCTCACTCCTGGAACCATGGGGTCCATTCAGTCACATGGTTGGTTGAAAAGAGACCCTTGAATTGTCAACTGTATAAAATTTTCCAGTGAAAGTCTGTTTGGTTAAAGACAGTAGCATGCCTAATGAACTGGGGAGATACCATGTCCTGAAACTTCCCATTTGCTGTCAGAAGGTCACTCACAGATGTATATATACCTTTTCCAAAGAGAAGAATTGGGGGGGGGGGGGGGGGGGCGGGTGTTAAGTGCATTTTTATGCTGAGTAAAGTAATTGGTATTTCGCCCTAGCCCTCCTTTGGGCCCTCCTTACATCGCTGCACTGATTGGGCTTATCCTCTGTGAAATAAAGATAATGTAAGCTTACACGTTCCAGGTGCTTTAGGAGAGACCAAGAAATATAAAGTGCGGCCCCTGCGCTCAAGTAAGAGGACACACACAAAAACTTAAATAAAAATGCAAACTGTGTCACAAGGTATTGAGCTGAGTTATAGCTCAAATGTCAGTGCGGTGACTTCAGGGGAGTTGAAGTAATCAAAGATGCTTCATGGAGGAGGAAGGGATTAGGCTTTGCAGTATAAATAGGAGTTGGCTAGCCAGAGAGGAAAAAAGAAAGGCATTCCATGCCGAAGGAAGGGGGAAGTGAATGGCTTTGAGGTGTTTCCTGAGATTTGTCCAGAGCATGCCGAGTATAACTAGAAACACCAAGAAGGTCCTTGTTAAAATGTTTCGTCTAAGGGCACCTGGGTGGCTCAGTCCATTGAGCACGGGACTCTTGATTTTGGCTCAGGTCATGATCTCACAGTTCAGGACAGAACCTGCTTGGGATCCTCTTTCTCTCTCCCTTTCTTTGCCCCTCCCCTGCATTCACGCTTTCTCTCTCTCTCTCTTTCTCTCTCTCTCTCTCTCTCTCTCTCAAAATAAACTTTAAGAATCTCAAGTCTATAGTTTACTCGCCGTGTGGCAGTGAGACTACCTAACCTCAGAGCCACAACTATCTCATCTGTAAAGGGAGCATAATAAAAATTAATAGTCTAAACAGTCTTGAGCACTCAGTAGGCATTTCCCCAGGTGGTGCTGGTATTACTGATATTACGGCTACTGTCACAATTCTGCCACCGCCAGCACTGCTGCTGACCTTCCCACTACTCCTCTACTTCTGTTACTGGTGTTACAACCGCCGTTACTCCTCCTGGTCCTCTGCTGAGTTCTATCACCGGGTCACATCCCAACTCTTTCCCTGATTGTCCCCACCCCACCGCCCATCACCCAGAGTCCTCCGTTCTCTGCTCCCACAGTTCTCTGTAAGGAGACCCGACGGGGACGTAGCAGGGTGGGTCTGGTGCAGGCCAGACCGCAACCCCAAATTCCAAGACCGAATTCAGAGGTAAAACACTTGACCTCACTGTGCTCGTGAGCCACGTTAAGTAAAGATGCTTCACGTGGGACTGGACCCTCTGGTTTATAACAAGAGCGGATCAGAGAACGTGGACTGGACTTCAGGTTTCACTAGAGCCATTTTGCACCGCGCCGGGGATGCTTCAGATGAGCAGGGAAGTCTAGCTTACAGATTGTTGGGGTGGCACCCTACAGCACATGGGCTAGGGTGGCCGCTGACGGGGGGTGGGGGGGCGGTTCTTACAGCTCTGTTGTCACTCTTCTTTCCCCTTGACTTGGAACTGGTTGTGTGACATTTTTAAAAATGTTGTCTGTCTACTTGCTGTGGGAGGCATTCCTTCCCTTCAACATGTGAACTCCTCTTTAATAGAAACTACCTCAGTCCCCTTAGCGATGTTTATTTTGAGCGTTTTCCTGTAGAATCACCCTGAATATTAGGTGCATCCTTTAGAAACAAGAAAAGATGCTAAAATATACAAAATGGGGAAACCCCCGCGCCAGTGCAGGGAGATGAGTCTGTAAAGGAGGAAGAGGAGTACGAAACGTAGGAGTAAATTAATAAAGATGGCCCCCGTTCCTGGTACCTGCTCTCTTTGTGATAAATAATAACTTCCAGTTCTCATTCCTGAAATATTAGACTGCTCGCAAGGTCTCTATGTGAAGATGACCTATTCCCTCACTCCTTATCTCACTGACCAAGTTCTCCAACTGCCTAGATCTGTAGAACTTGTCTGACGGACTTGTTAGATTCGTGTTTTATTGCTGTGTCTAGAGGTCTGTAGTATTTTACATGCTATCCTTGGAATTTTCAATTAGCAAATTTTAATTAACTAATTGAGGTTTCTTATTAAGAACCTTTTATGATTTGTCGTAGCAGTCTAGCTGTGTGTGCGCCCTATTCTATTAAGAAGCCATTAAATCCTTGGAAACAGCCTGTGAATTCATTAATCTTACTGGAGTATTGCAGAAGTCTGAGTAGAGAGCAGAGGCATTTGTTAAGGTAGTGTCTTAAAATAGGATCTTCCAGATGATAGAAGGTTGCAACAATGCAGCTGGGGCAAAGGAGGGAAATATAGTTCTCCAGGTAACCTGAAGCACCCCATTTGGATCTATTTTTGAGTCCATTTTTATTCACTTTTTATGCCTTTATATAAGAAGTTCTGGAAATTTATAATACTCCATCCCTGCTGCAGAATCGAAATCCTGCAGAAATATCTTTTTAAGGCAAACCAGCCCAAGATGTCACTTTCTCTGAGACCACCTTGAACATGATCCCTTGTGTCACCATTTCCTGGAAAATAAAAAGCACAAAATCGATTTATTTTATAAATCACTGGAAACCCCTTCTGCAGTGCCAGATGAGAGCCTAACATTTAGGGCACAAAAGCTAGGAACTTCTGGAATAGATGTGGCCCCGTGTTATCAAGTTTAAGCTGGTGTCCTTCACGGTCACGGTGGAGTGCTTTGATGATTTAAATACTGTCCACTTCCCCAGGATAGAACCAAAAGAGGTCTGTATGTCAGATCAAAACAGGCCTTTGTCACTAGGGGGAAAGAGAGTCGTGGAATGCAGACTCAGGGCAGAACAAAACTCAAGCAGCGCAAACTCTCCATCAAGAAATGGCACCGTGAGTTACCACACTTGATTTTGAGTGTTTTGTTTTTTTTTTTTTTTTTTTTCTAGAAGAGAGAGAGAGAGAGACAGCGTGAGCAGGGGAGGGTCAGAGAGAGAGGGACTCACAGACTGAAACAGGCTCCAGGCTCTGAGCTGGCAGTCAGCACAGAGCCCGACGCGGGGCCCGAACCCACGAACCGCGAGATCATGACCTAAGCGAAAGTCGGACGCTTAACCGGCTAAGCCACCCAGGCGCCCCGATTTTGAGTTTTGATGGAAAAGTTAAAGTTTGCCATTATTCCTGTGCAGCCTTGACTCTGTGGGATCTCAGATACATGGACCCCCTACTTCAGAGATAGCACCCCAACAGAGTTCACTACCCCTCTGGCCTCCGGGCTCCCAAGTGGCGGAATCTACAATCTGCAGATGTTGTCCTCACACCAGCCCTGTGTCCCGGAGGCAGGTGTCTATGACAGCCAGGCCTGGCCTCAACCAAATTGGTGAGGTGGGTGAAGTTTGGCATGACTGCGTTTTTTACCCGTTCTCCTTAGTATAACTTTCCTGGTGCTCTGGATGTGTGCCACTCCCACATAAAGCCCCCTCCTCCAGAAGGCTGTCTCTAGCATTTGTGTGAGGAAAAACATCGTTCCCCTCCGGAGCTTTGAAGAGTCTTGGTTGACGGTAGAGAATGAGGCGTAATAAGTGACCATTCCTGGTAGAGGGGCAGTAGAGCATAATAATGACTTCTGTTTATAAGGTTCAAGGGCATTGGCTAATCACAGCCTAATACATCACCTTCTCTGATAGCATCCCCGTATTAAAATATTTCTTGAATGCCTGAGTCATAAACCCAAAGAGCGTGATTTAGTAGGGCTCTTTGGGCATGTGGGTTGATCATCTGCTCTCATGGGAACACGGAGGAAGGGCAAAGGATAGATCCAAATTAAATAGGTGTTAGCCGATATGTCACTTTATACTCTGCTTCATCATTGAAACTCTCACCACTGAATAAAGGATCCTGATCCTTAAAGGATCCTTGATCGTTAATCCTTGATCCTGTGTCCTACTCAACGACTTTGCTGGCCCTCCCACTACTTGATCCACGCCACAGCCCCCTACCCCATTCCAAACATAAGTCCATCTCTTCATTCCTCCTGGGCTCCATGAATTCGGTAAATGAAGTCCACGTGTCCCAAAGTGAATTCCTCACCGCATCCCATGAGATGCTCTTCAGAAGGATTCTATAGTCCATTTAAGTTTGGGAGATGTGGTACATCCTAGACACCTATTCGTGGTGCGAGGTTGAAAGATTCACGGTGCAAATTAAAGCCTCTGAGAATTTTCATTTTCGCTAAGCCAACTGATTAACTTTGTTTAGCCTCGGGGTTTCCACCTGTATTTGACTCTAAAGCCCTTTAGGAAATGCTGTGTGAAGTCACATGACTCACTGTGGCCTCCTATTGTACTCCCACTCCCAGCTGATGGTTTTTGTGTGTGTATAAACACGCCTTTTCGTGACACCCTCGCAGTCAGTTGCAAAATTTAAAAAGCTTCGTCAAGCCACCGAGCAGGCGTGGGGGTTGGGCGAGTGGGTGGAGAGGAAGTCCTGTCCATGGGAGCTCCTAGCATTTGCACCCCGTGTTCAGGAAACAGTTTGTTCCTGACCCACCGAAAGCCTGAAACTCGAAGAATATGAGTCAACTTCTTGTTCTTTTTTAGAAGCCAGGAAACTTACAGGGCTTTGCGGAGGTGATGTCCATTAGGAAAACACTCTAGAAAGCTAATTAAAAGTCTTCGCGTACGGAAAGCATCTCAGAGAAACAAATCATTGCAGTCCGATTGGAAAGGTCTCTGTCAAAAGCAGCCAAGAACATTAACTTAGCACCATTATAAATGAAATGATATAAATTACACCTCTTTTTCTAAAAACACACTGAATTCAGGGAATGCACATTGGCTTGATTTTCATAGGAGTTACAAAGGATATTTCACTTATTACCACGTTTTTCTATTACTTCACAAATCTGGCATCAACTGACGAGTATGCGTTGAGTATGTACAAGACTAAGATATATTTTGAGAAGTATAGGTAGGCCAAACCACAGGAATTTATTGGCCAGCTCCCATAATTGTCATGAAGTTAGGAGAAGTCCATTAGGAGAGTCCCACTTGAGCCTGAAAAGTTAAGTGTGGTGCTCAGAGAGTGATCTTGCTCATAGATGGAGCCAAGCCTGCCGTATCCTCCCCATGGACCTTAACTTTGATGCCTTTGATTTTCACAGAGTAATCACTTTTACTCATGACAGGTGGGTACCCTAAGCCACCTTTCTTTGAGTTGCTGAATTTGGCCTTCGTTTATGGGCTGACCAATCATGATAGTGAAAAATTGCTGGAGTATAAGGCTGGATGTCTTCTTTAGGGAGTGGAGGACAGGATTGATCCCACAGATGGACAAGAAGGCCCCACAAAAGCCACCCCCCTAAGTAAGTGTCCTGTAACTAATGGCCATACTCACCCCCCACCATGTCCTGCATGGTTAGCATCCCTCTACCGGTACCTACACGCACTGAGCTTCCCGAGGGCCATCTTGGTCAACCTTGTGTAATCATTGGGAGCTCACCCACCTCCAGCCAGGCTGGGCAGGGTAGGTGGAGAAAATTCAGTGAAGGGAAACAGGTAAAAGAAACACTGTGGCACCTGTAACGGGTGTGTGTACCTACAGGAGCTGTAATGAGGTGGGCTACCTACCTACCTACCACAGGGACGAAGGAAGTCTGCCCGAAACCTCTGCGATGCCTGTAGTTAGAAGCATCGAAAGACACGGTTTTACTGGCACCTGGACAGCCTGCCCAGAAGGGTCTGGCTGAGGGATGAGAGGGACCTGGCAGGGCCCCAGCTGGGGACAGGAGTCAGAGGTCACAGCACCCAGCCCCAGGGTCTACTACCTTTGCCGCCACGCTGGGGTAGTGGTAATCCTGTTGCTATGACTTCTCGGGTCAAATGTCCAGTGAGGAGCCGGCCGCGTCATGGTTGTCCAGGATAAGCCACCCGTCTTTTCCCAGGGCCGTTGAAGTAGCAGCGATCATTGCCTTCTCCCAGGCTCAGCCCCTAACTTACGACAGTTGCGGTTTTGTCCAGCCCTTTGGTCTGATCTGAAAGGGGTTCAAACATCATTCTCCGTCTTTGTTTCCCAGTTGTTCAAGTTAAATCGATCTTTCTTTTTTTTTTTTTTTAATGCCTTTCTCCCAACAAAAGAATGTGAGTGTATATGTGTTGCCGGGCTGGAGTTCCGTATATAGAGATTCTGAGGTTCTAGACCCTTCTGATTAGGTCACACACCCCAGCCACACTGTGGGGCTTTAGGGAAGCCTGCTCCCCACAGCCTCGCCCTCTCAAAGCTGAGCTTCTCATAAACTACAGGCACTTCAGCTAAGTACAGTGTCCAAGGGCTGGATTTGTCATTTGCCTTGGTAACTAAAACAGCCCATTTTAGATTCAGCATTAAGTCTGTAAATCCTTTTTTATACACGTAAATTGTAATCTCAAATGTTACCTTCCAGATGAATGCCTGAATTGGGTTTGGACAGTTTTCACTTCTTGGCTGAAGTTAACACAAGGCCCACACCTCAGAATGTAGTTCAAGCTTAAAATGTAGCCACCTGCACATTGGATTAGAGGGGCTTGAAAAATTGGGAAAGCGGAGAGTATTTTTAGCACATGGGGCCTCATAGCCTTACATGACTTAACTTTTCAGATTATGTTCGCCAGCTGGAAAAACGTGAGTTTAGTAGAACTAAGGCATCATCAAATATCTGTTCCATGCTTTTAAAACAAAGTAATCTCAGGATTGTGCTAATACTGTAACTAATATCCCATGCTACTGCCTTTAGAGCAGCAAAAAAAAAAAACAACCCTTTTTTTCTCAACTTAAGATGATTTTATTTAATATACAAAGCTCTTTGTTGATTAGGCTGTGGTTCCATTTGGTAACATTTAAGGGATCAAATAGGTAAGACTTTTATATTGAATATTGATAGCAGGTGCCTTTCAAATACCTACCATGTTTGTACTCTCATAAGAATAAACCTATCTTAATGTATTTTTTCCTGAACATGTTTTAAATGCATTTCTGCGTCTGTACTTAGGAAGAGAAGAAAACAGGCTAAGGTCGATAACATCTGATTTTAATGAAAGAGGAACATGGCTTGTTTTGCTCTCCCAGCCCCGTGGCCGCTTACAGTCCCTTTGCTTCAGTCCCTTTGCTTCAGTCCCTTTTCCTCGGTGATTCATAGTCGAAAGAGACAAGTCCACTCTCGGCTAAAGCTCAGGCACTTTGGGAAGGCCTAAAGGGATTTGGTTTCTTTTAGCCAGATCCGTATTTCAGCTGTTGGTATTACTTACGAGACCCATGAAAGAATGTAAACAGAATCGGTGGATTAGACTGTAATTTTGTGCTCACGGGCTGTGTCTGCATTGGCAGAGGGGCCCCTGTTTTGATGGGTGACCCAGGTGAGGCATAGGAACCATTTTACTGGGTGCCAGGATCAATGCCCTAATCCTGTTTTCTATCTGATAAGCTCCAATGGATTCCTCAAAACCCAGCTTCTCCAAAAGGACTTCCCTGACTCCTCCTATCCCTTACAGTTAATTACTCCTCTGTGCAGACTATTACCTTCACCTAGTGTGGAAGTGGTTATGTTTATCTGTGTACCTGCCTTGCCTGCTAGACTGCGGGCTCTTTGAAGGCAAGAGCTGTTTATTTATGCCCCAGGAACTGAGTACAAACTCGCGGTTACACTGAATGGAATTGCTGGCAATGCAGTTGCTGGGAGTACCCGTACCCCTTGCCTTCTCATTAACCAGTTTTTCATTCTGAAAGCATTTACTGAGAATCCTATATCAGAATTTGAATGTTTGCTGAGTGACCTAATTTGTTACAGAGGAATAGGCACAGTTAGATTCTTTAGCCACAAAGCCAAGTATGGCTGCCTAGGAAAGAGGACCAGAATCGGAAAAGTAAGCGTATGGCTTTTGCTCTGACATCTCAAATGCATGCTTTTACTTTGTGCTTGCATATACTGCGATAGCAAACGCTTTGGAACCTGGTGAAAATTGCATTATTAAGTAGTCAGAGGCCTGTATATTTCGTCAGGCAACTAGCGGTATTTTTTAGCTTAGCAGAACTAACATATCCAGGAATTTAGGGTCAGGACCATTATAAGCTATCAGAGGGTGAGCTACACTATTATTCCTAAAAAAGTTATCAAGCCCAGAATAAAATGAAAACCAAACTGAAGTAGAGGACATGGGCTTAATAATAAAACTGTTTCTTGAGCCTTTACTGTATGACAGGCACTGAGCCAAACTTCTTGAGTAAGATGAGTAAATAGAAGTAATTAACTCCAGTTTTTAAGTGGTTTATGATCATAAAAATCTGGGCAAGATTATTATAACCATTTATTTAAATGCCATTTTATAAGGAAAATGTAGTCGCCTTATTTTGCATTTGCAGAAAATTAAGAAAGGCTAAGTCCTCTTGTGTGCTACAGGAAGGTCTTTTTTATGATTGAAATTCAGATCGAGCCATCGTTGCATTTTTAATAGAAACGTATTGGACTGATTTGTAATATTGTGTCCTAGGCCTTGGAATAACCATTAACGTACGAGACTGAAACAACTACTTCGTGTAGTTCTTTTTTTTTTTTTTTTAATGTTTATTTTGAGAGAGAGACAGAGTATGAGCAGGGGAGGGTCAGAGAGAGAGGGAGACAGAATCTGAAGCAGGCTCCATGCTCTGAGCTGTCAGCACAGAGCCTGATGTGGGGCTCGAACCCACGAACCGTGAGATCATGACCTGAGCCAAAGTCAGACGCTTAACTGACTGAGCCACCCAGGCGCCCCCTACTTCGTGTAGTTCTGTGCAGTATACCACAGGCTAAGTGTTGGAGTAAATAAAATATCTAGCTCCTAGCACATAGTCCCACTGAGTAGGACAATAAAGAGTTCAAGTTTTGTTAACTGTTTGGTTCAAAGTTAAAATGACTTCAGAAGTCCAGTCCAAGTCTTGCTATATGGTTTTTAATTACTATAGGTTGACAATTATTGGGACCATTATCATAAAAGGCCCATTTATTTTTAGTACAATGTATGCCTATCTAAGAATTACTCAGTGGTCCCCTGGTCATGATGTTTGGCCATTCGTGGATTGTCTTCCATAGATGTATTTTCATCACACTTATAGGAGGGTCACTAGACAATCCCAGCCCTTCTTGGGAGGGATAGAGTTCAAGCAGATCTGCTCTAAGCATGTCTAAGAACCCTGGACCATCTTGGGCGCCTGAGTGGCCCTGTTGGTTAAGCATCTGACTTCAGCTCAAGTCATGATCTTATGGTTTGTGAACTTGAGGCCCGTTTCAGGTGAGCCCCACTTCTCTCCCTCTCCCTCACCCTTTTTCTCTTCCTCTCTCTCTCTCTCTCTCTCCCCTCCCCTTGCCCCTCATGGGATTCTCTGTCTGTCTGTCTCTCACTCCCTCTCCCTCTCCCTTCTCACTTGTGCACACACACTTGCTCATTCTCTTTCAAAACAAAAACAAAAAACACTAGACCATTTTGAAGTTAAAGCAGCTTTGCATATTTAGGCCCTCAAATGCTTCACTATCCACCATCTAGGGTGGTACCCAGATGTCGTACTATGACTTCCGAGTGTATAGACACAACAACATTGCAGAGAAAAGAGGAAGTTTTACACTGAGATCTGGCTGACACAAGTAATCACTTCTGTAGTACTTTGTAGATAACATAACAGTTTACTATGTGTAATCTCAATTTACAGTGTTCATGATGATACTACCAAATCTTGAACCTCAGAAATGTTAACAGATGTCTGTGAAACTCAAAAGGATACCTGTGTCTACTAAGTGTAGTAGGGAGGGTGGGGTGAGGTTATTATCAAGAGTATCGTGAAGAGCAAAGAAATCCCCAATGGGTCTGATGCAGAAGATCTGGTAAGTGGAAGAGACACCTGTAGTCAGAAATCCTAGGGTGTTTCTAAGTTGGAGTTGGGAGCCAACAGGGGGTAGGTTTGCCTAAATCTAACGGTGAAACTTGAAGCTCCTAATATACATCCTAGGACGCTGGCAAAGCTGTGAGATAGAGCTTCTTGAAGACCGGCATTGGCTGGGAGGTCAAAATTTAAATGACCACAGAGCCCATTTAATGAGTCAGGACCCATGTGGCAAAGGCGGTCTTCATACCCTGAGCATAGTAGCTCTTTCCTGCATGCAGTTTGGATTCCAAGACGATACATGCAGTCTGAAAGCTGGCACTGTGGGAACCTCAGCCACAAAAAAGGAAAAGGGAAAAACTGCAGTGTTGGGGCAGGCACAACTGCAGAGAGGATCGCAGGAGCCAGATGGTGCCCAAGAGTCAGCACAGTCAGCCAGGTACTTCTGTTGAGAGTTGCCTTCTACCACAAACCCTTCCCTTTTCCCCCAGCTCTCCCTGGCCTTCCAGAGTCCTGTATTGTTCTACAGAATTTATCAGAATGACTGTTGAATTGAAGGATTCCCAGGGGGAAAAAAAAGCAGAGTAACAGTCTGGGTAGGGACACAAAGCATGTACCTGCTGGAGCAAGCGGTTTTTATGGGATATGTGTGCAGCTGACAACAGGGCCCACTGAGTCCAGCCCTGTTTGTGGGTGCACATTTTAGCATCTGTCCCAGCCTTCCAAGAATGCAGAAAATGGTGTCTTCTAAGGGCAGATGGTAGTTAGTGACGTTAACGGCCACGTTGTCTGATCCCTGGCACAACTGTGAAGTGGGTCTAGGTGAGAAAGCTTCCAAAATAGAGCCCCAAAACTCGACAGCTACCTTTAAATCTTATAGTCTCCATTTTTTTAGTCACCAAGAAGATGGGCTATAGCTTGCAGGAGGGACTCCTTGTTAATGTTACTATCGTGAGAACTGATGGATAAAACTCAGCTAGATTTTTCCACGTTTTGGAAGTTGTAGAACTGTCCACAAGCCCTTGTAGATTATTGGTGTATACAGACCATAGCTGTGCTCCAGTTCCTTACACCTTGGCCAAAAATGTTCCTACGTGCCTGAAGTTGGTCTCCAGAATATGGGGCTGTTGGGATTATTCCAACCCCTTGAAAATACACTGATGCACAAGTGCTAAGTCATCCACTGTCGACATAATGAGAGACTATTACTGAGGTTTCTACTTGGGTTCTTTTTCCATACGCATTGCAGTGTGGTGGGGGAAAATTAATG